CGCAAGTGGAAATGATATATCTGAGGCCTTCGGCCGTTGTGATATCTGAGGCCTCTCGGCCGCCTTCCCTGGCGTAGGTTGTGGGTAGGCTCCTGGAGGCTCTGGGCACGCACTAAGGGTTTAGAGGAATGTGAAATATGATTGTGTTTTCCTCCTTCCCGTTCGGCGTGCACGTTCCGTTGCTAATAATTGTGCTCAAGCTCTCCCACCCACGAGCCACCCTGCTTGAGGGGAGTGCTCCGATCGGAGAGAGTTTCTTCAGCGCATCGCATAACGATTTCTTTGGACGGATTCGTTGCATCACACAGGTGATCATCGCAAGTGAAAATGATTTATATGAGGCCTTCGGCCGTTGTGATATCTGAGGCCTCTCGGCCGCCTTCCCTGGTGTAGGTTGTGGGTAGGCTCCTGGAGGCTCTGGGCACGCACTAAGGGTTTAGAGGAATATTGTTTTTCTATTCGTTGGACCCGTAACGTCCGTGACGGGGGGTTCGTCTTTCCCCCCCCGTCGGAGTAACACACGTACGGGGGCGGCGGGGGCCAGCCCCCCCACAGCTATGTCGCCGTGCTCACAGGCATGGTGCGGTGCTGAGAGGAATCGGACAGCCTCTAGACGCCTCCAAAGGCGGCCATGCTCGCCGTCGTCGTCGTCGTCGCCGTCGTTGTCGTCTCCAACGTCGTCGTCATCTCCAACGTCGTCGTCGTAGCGGTGTCGTGATCACGACGTCGTCATCGTGTCGTCATCGTCGTCGCCGTTGTCGTCCTCGTCGTAGTCGTCGTCGTCGGCGTCCTCATTCTTGTCGTCATCGTCGGTATCGTCGCCGTCGTGGGTCGTCGTCGTCGTCGTCGTCGTCGTCTCTGAGGGCCTCGCATTGCCCGCAGGCCTCCAGAGGTCTCTGGAGATTCCCTTGAGGCTTCCGGAGCCGTCGTCCTCGGCGTGGTCGTCGGCGTCGTCGTCCTCGTCGCTGTCGTCGTCCTTGTCGTGGTCGTCGTAGTCGTCGTGGTCGTCGTAGTCGTCGTCGTCGTCGTCGTTGTCGTCGTCGTCGTCGAGGGCCTCGAAGGGCCTCCAGACGCCTCCTGAGACCTCCCGAAGCCTCTGGAGACCTCTGGAAATCTGCAGAGGCGGCCGTCGTCGTCCTCGGTCTCGTCCTCGGTCTCGTCGTCGTCATCGTCGTCGTCGTTGTTGTCGTCGTCTTCGTCGTTGTCGTCGTCGTCGTTCTCGTCGTCGACGTCCCCGTCCTCGTCCTCGTCCTCCTCGTCGCCGTTGTTTTCGAGGTTTTCGCAGGGCCTCCAATTTCAGAGGTCTCCAGAGACTCCCTGAGACTTCTCGAGACCTCTGGTCTCGTTAGTGGTTGCCGTCGTCGTTGTCGCTGTTGTTCGGCGGCAAGCGAGGGGGGAAGTGAGAAGGGGCGGGCCTTCTCAGACGGCTCGGAAGGCCCCCGACCTTCTGACAAGTTTTCTAAACTTTCCCCGAAGACGCAGAAAACCTTTCAGAAGGCGCGAGGGCTTCTGAGAAGTCCTACAGCCTTCTGAGAAGGCCTTCTCCTTCTCACTTCCCCATCTCGCTCGCTGCCAAGTTGTCGTCGTCGTCCTCGTCGTCGTTTGTCGTTGTCCTCGGTGTCGTCGTCGTCGTAGTCGCCGTCGTCGTCGTCGTCGGTGTCGTCTTCGAGGGCCTCGAAGGGCTCCAGTCGCCTCCAGAGGCCTCTAGAGAACTTCTGAAGCCTCTGGAGATTTCTGGAGATCTTCAGAGGCGGCCGTCGCCGTTGCCGTTGTCGTCCTCGTCGTCGTCGTCGTCGTCGTCGCCGTCGTCGTTGTCGTCGTCCTCCTCCTACTCCTCCTCCTCGTCTTCGTCCTCGTTGTTGTCGTCGTCCTTGCCCTCGTCCTCGTCGTCTTCCTCGTCGTCGTCGTAATCGTCGTCGTCGTCGATGTCGGCATCGCTATTGTCGTCCTCGTTCTCGTTGTCGTCCGAATCATCGTCCTCGTCCTCGTCGTCGTCGTCGTCGTCTCTGTGGGCCTCGCAGGGCGTCTAGACGCCTCCAGAGGCTTCCTGAGACATCGAGAGGCCTCCGGGGACCTCTGAAGACCTTCAGTGTTCGTCATCGTCGTCGTCGTCGTTCTCTTCGTCCTCGTCGTCGTCGTCGTCGTCCGGCGCACGACCTCACCTCCGTCAAGGACGTTACGGGAGGGCATAGAAAAACATTCTCGAGGTTGTCCTCGCCGACAGCAGCGGCGGCGTCCGCAGCCCCAGCGGAAAGGCAGACATCCCCCCGAAGGGGTCCACGGAGGGTTCGACGATGGACGAGTACGCCACGGCGCCGCACGTGCGCCGAACGACGACGAGCACCATCTGACAGACGGTGGCGCCCGAGGCGGGCACGAACTCCGCCGCGTCGGCCCTCGGCGACGTCCGGGTGGCGGCTGGCTCAGGCGCGGGCGCCTCGATCACCGCCAGCATCTCCCCCTCGACGGAGTCCACCTGCGCTCCCTGGCGCGGGCCGCCCAGCCGCGGTCCATGCTGAGCGCTGCAGAGCTGCGGAGCACTCGCCGAAAAGAGGGCCAGGAGCAGCGGCATGAAGATCGACGTCACGACGAAGGCGTTCGAGCCACGAGGGCTCTTGACCTGCGGTCAATCCCCGCAGGGCCGGAAGGGGCGACTTGAGCTTGTCCGCCAGGTCGGAATCGCCGACGCTGTCGTTCAGGGTCGTCTCCGCCATCTCCAGCCGCCCCACGAGGATGTTGAGCGGCATCGGTGGCCGTTTGCGAACGCCATGCCGCTTCACTTTTCTGCGATCGCGTCCTAGGATCCAAGTTTGGACCCCGCTAGCAACCATCCCCAAGTCGAACGAGACCATGATCGTGCACCCTGGCGCGCAGCAGCACAGCAGACCGGCGGCTGAGCGACATGAGCGATGGGCCCGATTTGAAGAAGTTGGGCGAAAAGGAGGAGGAAGAGGGGAGCTGTCAGCAGGAGGTGGAGGAGGAGGAGGAGGAGGAGGAGGAGGAGGAGGAGGAGGAGGAGGAAGGGGGGAGCTGTCAGCAGCGCGTCCCCGAGAAACGTGGGGGATCGGGAAACGGGGGGGGGATGTCTCGAAATCTCATACGTGCAGCTGGTTTGGGCCCCGCCGAGGGTTGCCTTCCTCGATGCACTGGACCGTCGCCGGGAGGCGCGAGTAGAACCAATTACGTGAGTTGGCTCGTTAAGCCCCTTTTCATTCCTCCCCGTCTCCATGCGACGCGAGAGGAGGAGGAGGAGCAGGAGGAGGAGGAGGAAGGCCCTCGGCATCCAAAAGGAGATCACCTCGGCCAAGGACTCCGCGTCCAAGTTCCTGGGCAGCCTCAGCGAGTCCATCAACCAACTACGCCCCTACCGCTGGCAATAGCCATCCTCGCCATCACCCACAAAGGCCTAGACGGCCGAACGTGGTGCCCACGCGCCCGACGCCGTCACAGCACAACCACCATGCCTTTCCAACCTTTCCGACCTACGCTCCAACCGACCCCTCCCAACCACACTCTGACTCTCTCCACGACTCCCATGACTCAACCCTCTCCGAGCGAACCAGTGTCGCCCCACCTGGACTCCACTACAATGAGGCCATGCCTCAGGGTCGGACCGACCTTACAGCTGCAGACCGTGCGATCCCGTCATCTCCGAGAACACCTACCTACTCATCTTCCTCACTTGCGGCAGTGTACGGACAAACGCCGGCAAAACATTGGATACGGTGACTACTTCAATTACACCGCCTACTTAAATTTTGGGACTTGATTTCCACCTCCCTCCCCCAACCTTCACCACCTTCCTGGTCCTCGTGCCTCGTCCTGCTGACGTACCCCTCCCCCCTTCATGTGGAGTCGGGATGGGCGGGGATATCATGGGGCGGCTCGGGGGAGGGACGTTCTGCGGCGCGCTTTTACCCACCCAGCCACCAGCGCCTAGGTTCCAGATCGTGCTATCGCGCCTACCAGTACCTCTTCTTTTCACCTGTTCTGTCTCCAGTCCATCGCACTGCCATGTCTGCCAGTACCTCTTCTTTTCGCTTGTTCTCTCTTCAGTCCAGCGCAGCCTTAGACATTTACAGAAGGGTCGGCTGGTCCCCCCCCATTCCGAAAGAGCGACCCTGCCGCTGGGACCTCCACACGAGCTTGCCACTGCGGCCCTCTGCCTCCGCCCTAAGAGCATGCTGACCGCAGCTCACCTGTTGACCCATTGGCACCAGGAGCTCCACGTCCTCTTTCATGATCATTTTCCGACCTCTACTTCCTCTTCCTGGTGCCATTGCCCTTCGCGTTCGCTCGACCCTACGCCCTTAACCGCAGTCGCCGTTGAGGCGAACCCCCTTGTCTCTCCTTCTCCATCCCTTTCCCAATCCCTTTTTGCATCGCCGCCCGCATCTGCCCCTGGGGGCTTGCCTTCCCGCCCTTGGGGTGTTTGGGCCTTCCGTCTGTGCTGTTTTACATCAGGTGCCTCCCATTTCCCCCGCCTCATTGTTAGTGGTCGTTTGCTCTCTACCTTATCCCCACCTTTTCCTTAATGAGCCCCCCCCTGGTTTTTGCCGGGTGGGAGGGGCTGGACAGGCTTGCGTGGCGACAACAATTTGACCGCCGTTAGCAGCGGCAACAGGAGGAGGAGGAGGAGGAAGAGGAGGAGGAGGAGCAGGACAAAGGAGGTTATGAGGAGGAGGAGGAGGAGCAGGAGGAAGATGAGGAGGAGGACGAGGAGGAGGAGGACGAGGAGGAGGAGGAGGAGAAGGCAGAGGATGTTCGTGGGGACGCTGGCATGGGCGCGGGCGGCATCCTCCTCTTTCAGCTCCCCCGTTCCTGGGCCTCGCCAGGGGCCCCCTGTGGTCGCCGCGGCCGAGGAGGCGGGAGGAGGCCCGGGAGGGGCCCCGGGAGGTGTCCCGGGGGGCCACGTTCCTCCTGCGCGGTGTGCCGCCCGCGCGGGTGGCCCGCGCGAGGTGGGAGCGGGTCGTGAGGTCCGTGCCGCGTTGGCCGCCCAGGTGTCCTACAAGGCCCGCTGTGAGCTCGGAGTGGCGTGCCCGCACGCGCACGGGGCGAAGGACGCACGAGCGTCGCCCCCTGCGGCGGCGGCAGCGGTGTGGGAGGCAGCGGCGGCGGCAACGGCGGCGGCGACGGCGGGGGCGCCGCGGAAAGTTGCCCCGCGTTTCGGCGCACGTACCTCTATCGTCTGAGCCGCTTCCGATCTTCATCCTCTCGTCCAAGGTTCGACAGCTTCAAGTTCCGATGGGTTTTGGTCGTTCGCTGGTCGATCTATACTCTGGTGCGGCAGGTCTATCGCGTGGGCGTGGGCCACGGTTGACCGGAAGACGCAATTCAGGATCCCCTTAGCGTTATGAGTAACCCCATGCCCACGATGATAATGTACCCCCCTCCCTTAAGTCGTTAGAGTTTTTTATCGTCGACCAATAAGAGTTTGGTCGGGGGCGCGGGGGCGCGGAGGCCGAACTTCATTATCACGGGAAAAGTTCGCCATCGAATTTACTTCCTTCTTATGTTGAGATAACAACATCAAGCGAAGCGAATACGTTGTTTCAGGATGTCTCAAGCGAAACCAATGTCCTTCTGTCTCTTTGTAGTTCTTTCTGTCTCTCTTTCTTTCTTTCTCTGTCTCTCTTTCTCTCTCTCTCTGTCTCTCTATCTCTTTCTCCTTCCTGGCCTCTCTGTCTCTCTCTCTGTCTCTCTATCTCTTTCTTCTCCTCCTCCCCCTGGCGCCCTGAACTTGTTTATCGCTGGGGTTGATTATCCAGGGAAAACGAGGCACGTGAGCTACCCTACACGAGCACTTAAAAATTTTAATTTTCACAAAGCGCTTGTAAATGAAATTTAATACATTTGAATCTTCAGATTTTTTGTTTGATCCTCCTTTCCTCTTCTCTTTTTCCTTTTCATTTATTATTCTACTTTTCTTTTTAAATTTATCTTCTCTCTTTAAGTCCTTCCTTTCTTTTTCTTTATGATGTATCTCTCTTTCTCTCTCTCTCTCTCTCTTTTTGTTTTTTTTTTGTTTCTCTCTCTCTCTCTCTCTCTCTCCATGCCCCCCCCTCTGAACTTTTTTATCCCTGGGGTTGATTATCCATGGAAAATGAAGCACATGAGCTACCCTACACGAGCACTTAATTTTGTTTTTTTTTTATTTTCATAAAGCGCTTGTAAATGAAATCTAATACATTTGAACTTGAGAGTTTTCCTTCTCTTTCTCCTCCTCCTCTTTTTTTGTTTTTTTTCCCCCTTTTTCTTTTTCATTTCTTATTGGTTCTTTTTATTGTTGTTTGTGTATATCGCTTTCTCCATTCCTCCGCCCGCCTGAACTTTATTATCGCCGCGGTTGATTATCCAGGGACACCGAGGCGGATGAGCTATTCCGAGGATGTCTCAAGCGAAACAAGCATATATTCGAGGATGTCTCAAGCGAAACAAGCATATACTGAAGGATGTCTCAAGCGAAACGATACGTTTCTTAAGCGAAATAGGCAATAGTTTGACGGTGTTTCAAGCGAAATAAGCAACAGTTTGTGGATGTCGCAAGCGAAACAAGGGATTTGTCGAGGATGTCTCCAGCGAGATAAGCCATTGTTGAGGATATTTCTATAAAGACTAAACGCCAAGGATGTCTCAAAACGTGCTCGGCTTGGTCTCCTCTTGATCATCTCTTACTTCGAGATTATGCTGAGGTCTGGTGGGCTACTTTGATTATCTCCCCCTGAACCCCGAACTTTATTATTCCCTAGTGTTTATTCTCGAAGGTTTAGGGTTAACATCCAGAAGCGATATCGTCTAGTACCCCAGCAAAATAATTGATTAAATAATTCCTCGGGCTTGGGGGGTGGGAGTAAGAGGGGTCGAAGAAGAGACCTTGTTGCGTCCCCATCGGGCAGGAATCCGGCGTGGTATTCTATCACCACCACGCGAACTTGGCCAAGAGAACCATCGAAACCATGGAGTCTACTTGACGACGACGATGAGGACGACGAGATCCGCTTGGAACTCGATTGGGATCTTGTTTGAATGCTATTGGAGACCTGTTTGGATGCGATTGGGATCCCTGGGATCCCTTCGGAGCCCAGGAGTTCGAATGTAATATGATTCAGGTGGTTTGTGCCATTCCGCCGACCCCCAGAGGAGAAACGCAACTCACGGGTGAGGCCTTCTGCCTCCCAGGATCCGTTTGAGGGGTCCACTGGGGCATCTTCGAGCCTCCTGGGGGTCGGTTTGGCGCCTTCTGGCTGTCTCGGGGGTTGCCCAGAAAGGAAGTTCGAGTTCCCCCCGCCCCTCTTGAATCTCTTTGGGGCCCGTTACGGGCCGTCTTGTGCGCCTCTGGGGCCGTTCTGGGGCTCTCTTGGGCCGTCTTGGGGTTTTCATCAGGTCTTCTTCGGGCGTCCGGGTGGCCCGCAGCGTGTACGCCACGCAAAACAAATTGATTGGCCGGCAGCAAAAACATAGAGACACAAGCCCTTTGTTATTGTAAGCGGCCTCTTGGATGTTCGTTTGTGGAATGCCTCTCGGGGGCCTCTTGGAGGCGTTTTGAAGCAAGCCTCTTGGGGGCCGTTTGGGTGACTCTTGGGGCCAATTTTTGGGCCTCTTGGGGCCTCTGGAAGGCCTCTCGGGCTTTCTTGGGGATCTTTTGGGGCCTCTTGGGGTCAACTTGGAGCCCCCGTGGGCGATTTTCGGCGCTTCTTGGGCCCTCTTGAGGCCTTTTTGGGCCGTCCTGGGGCGGCCTTCGGGGCTTGTGGGGTCATCTTGGAGCGTCGGAGATCCGAAACGTGAGAAAGCGAAACACATAAAAACATACCTCAAGGACAATCGATGATGTTTGCCTCTTTGGGCCCTCTTGGGGGTCCTCTTGGAACGCTCTTGGGGCTTCTTTGGGGCCTCTTGGGCCGTCTTGGGGCCATGTTGGGTGTCTTGGAGCGCTCGTGGGCTGCCTTGAAAGCCTCTTGGACCCTCTTGGTCGCTTTCTGGGGCCCCTCTGGGCCAGTCTTGGGGCCCCCTGGCCTCTGGAAAAATCACGCGCGGTAGCCCAGGAACGCGCGTAGATTTCGCGTCCGTATCAGTATTGGAGTGGTCTCTTCAGTTGTTTGGTGATGGTCACGTTTTGGTGTTCTATTATAGCTTGGATCGTCTTTACGGGCTCAATGGGATGGTGTGGTTGCCGAATGAAAGGCGGGACATGTATGCTCGTGGTCATGATGATGATGATGATGATGATGATGATGATGATGATGATGCTGCTGATGCTGATGCTGATGCTGATGCTGATGCTGATGCTGATGCTGATGCTGATGCTGATGCTGATGATGATGATGATGATGACGATGACGATGCTGATGATGCTGATGATGCTGATGCTGATGCTGATGCTGATGCTGATGCTGCTGATGATGATGATGATGCTGATGATGATGATGATGATTATCATGACCATGATGATGGTGCCGATGATGGTGATGATGATGATGATGATGATGATGATGATGATGATCATGATGATGCTGATGATGCTGATGCTGCTGATGATGAAGATGAGGAGGAGGAGGAGGAGGACGAGGACGAGGAGGAGGAGGAGGAGGAGGCCTAAAGATGACTCGTGGGGGACCCTTGGGACCGTTGGGGACCGATGGGAGAGTCTTTGGGGCAGCGCGGGGGCTTCCTTGGCCATCGTTGGGAACGATTTCGAGGCCGTTTTGGCGGCCCCACCTTGGGTCGTTCATGGGGAGCTTTTTGATAGCTCTTTTGGAGGTTTCTTGCGCTCTCTGGGGGCCCTTCTGGAGGCCTCCTGGAGGTATCCGGCAACGATAACGCGAAGAACCATCATCTTGGATGATGTGGGGTACAACTTTGGGTTCCCTTTCGGTAATTAATTTTGTCTTTCCTGGGGTCTCCAAGGGCATCCAGAAGTATTATTAGTGTTTCTCGGGCGTGGTGGAGCCCTTTCTGATCTGTCTTGGAGCGCATCTTGGAGGCGTCGGAGGCTGGAGTCTGAGCCTCAAAGGCCTGGGCGGTGCGCTCACGAGCTCGCCCCCCGCCCCCCCCAAAGTCCACCCCCCTCAAACAGGATTGAGGACCCCTGGGGAGTGGGGAGCAGGGGAAGGGGGAAAGCCAAACATATCACACGCCTCCTCAACCCCGGTAAGCTGGCGGTCGGTGGATCTTCTTCATTTAGTCATCGATTGCCAAGCGTATCCAGCCTTCAAACGTATTCTTTTCTGCTTCAGCCAACCTTGTTTTCTGTGGATTTTCCCAAGGGGGCTTGTAGCTGCTGCAGCGTTTCACTTTTAACTACTGTCAAACTGCCCGAGCTGCTGCTTCAGAGACCACAGACGCCGTCGTGCATGTCGGAGGAGGCAGATGTGGAACAGGCGTGATTCGCCGGCGAAGTGCAGTATGCAATGCACTTGTCCGTCATGGGAGACATCTTGTTTTGGCGGCTTGAAAGTTGTACCCCCGCGGCGGCATGTCATGATCAATTTTGCAGCAGCCCTTAGGGAGGCGCCCCTCTTCGTATCATTTGATGCTATACCGTCCTTCGCCCGTTCATGTCCAGCGTCAAGGTTTGAGCCAGTTGATGGCCTTCAGCGCCCGCTTTGTGGTGATTTTGTGCTGGCTTTTTCTTGTCGGGGGGATCGCAGGGGCACCATGGGGCATCCCTCAACCACGGCCATCTTGCTCGCCTTCTACGCATGCCACGCCATGACATGAGTCACCAGCGCTCCACCAATGTTTGCACGGCTCTGTACCCTTACCGTCCAATGGCTCCGTTAAGCGAGACAAGCGATTCGGGGTTATGTGGGGAGCGTTCGTTTTTTCCATTCGCTGCGTAGGTCCCGTTCTTTTGCTGATTCTGATCTTGATGCTGATGCTGATGATAATGATGATGATGTTGCTGCTGATGATGATGATAATGATGATGGTTTGGATTTGTCACGTCACGTCTGCGGTGCAAGTCTACGGTGACCGGTTGTCGGAAGAACCGCGACACGCGTATCAACACCAACCTTGATCCACCCAGACGACCGATTTGTAGCTTTAAGCGGCAGCTGGGAGGCAGGGGCTAACTCCCCCAGCACCACATCGTTGCCGTGCCCACTGTGCGCGAGGAACGCTTACCCTCCCGCACTTTCTTGAGATCAGCCTTGGGCCTCCTTCGGCACTGTTCCGCCAGCTTGCCAAGACGACCCGATCTCGGTCACACGTCCGCAGGCCACAGGATATCGGGTCATGCGCAGGACGTGTGCGCGCCGATCCGCCGGCAACGCAGGGTGCTCGGGGGCGCGCGGTGAGCTTGCCTGCATGCGTGCGTGGGCAGGGGAGGGCCACTCCGTCGGGAGGAGGGGGAGGCGGGGGGGTGGAGGGCGAAGGGGGGGGGGGGGGCGGGGGCGGACGGGTAGGGAGAAGACGCAGTGGAGCAGGAACAGGAACGGACAGCGCGTGAAACTGGAGAGCTCTCGGAGCTTTCTTGGGGTCCTTCGGGGGGAGACGGGCAGGTTGACCCTCCAGCCAGTTCAAGCAGCGTTTTGCCAGCAGCTGCCCCTGCACGGACTCGTCCCGCAGCTGCCCCTCTCCTGACCATCCGATCCTTTGGCCGGGGGGGGGTGCAGGACGGGAGCTTCTGCTGCTGTTGCTGCTGGTAACGATGATGATGCTCATGATGATAACGATGATGATGCTGATGATGATGATAATGATGATGATCATGCTGATGACGATGCTGATGCTGCTGATGCTGATGATGGTGGTGGTGGTGATGATGATGATGGTGATGGTGATGGTGATTATGATGCTGATGGTGGTTATGGTGATGATGAGGACGATGAGGATGTTGATGCTGATGATGAGGATGAGGATGAAGATGGTAACGATGATGATCATGAGGATCATGATGCTCATAGTGGTGCTGGTGATGATGATGGTGATGATGATTACGATGAGTATGAGGTTGGTGAACATGATGATACATAATGACCATGATGATGATGATGCTGCTGATGATGATGATGATGATGATAATGTTGATGGTGGTGATGATGCTGATGCTGATGCTGGTGTTGATGCTGCTGCTGATGATGATGCCGATGATGATGCTGATGCTGATGATGATGACGATGCTTATAATGATGATGATGTTGATGATGATTATGATGATGATGATGATGATGCTGACGATTGTCAGGAGGATGAGGATGAGGATGAGGATTAGGGGGAGGAGGAGGAGGAGGAGGAGGGGGAGGAGGAGGAGGAGGAGGAGGAGACGGAGGAGTATGATGACGTTGACGGCGATAAGGGGTAACGATGTTGATGTTGATTCCGATGATATGGTGATGCTTACGATGGTGGGGATGATGATGGTTGGAGTGCTGATGATGCTTGTTGGAATGGTTGCGATGGTGGTTAGAATGATGACGATGATGACGGGGACGGTCATGGTGGTGACGATGATAATGATTGTGGAGACGCGACGGACGCAAGGAAAATGAGGAGGAGAGGGGGATGACCAGGAGGAGAACGATTGAAGATTGAGAAGGAGGAGGGGATCTGCAAAGGAACTATGCAAAGGAGATCTGCAAAGGAAAGCGAGGGCGACGACGACGACACTGACGATCACGAAAACGACCAACGAACAACAACCGACGACCGCGACGACCACCGCGAGCGAGAACCGACGACAGGTGACGGCGACCACGGATGCTGACGATTATGACCATGACGACGCCAGGGCCACGACCACGATTGGGCCTGCATGCCTTGGCACCTGGCTTTTCCTGTTGTTTCTGCATGGCGCGACTGTGCTTCCGAGCTGTATGCCACAGCGACGACCACGATAACGGACACGACCAAAACCACGACGACCACGACGACCATGACGAATGAGGGCCCCCAGCAGCCCAGGAACAGCTCTACCACCCGCTCTTCTACAAGACGGGCCCCTGCATCGACAAGGGCTGCAAGAGGCGTGTGCGCGCGCCAGTGCGGCGGGCGGGGGGGGGATATCGGGTGACCCGAGAGGGCATCTTTTTGTCGCTGCGTGGCCCGAGGGAGGAGGAGGAAGGAGGAGGAGAAAGATGAGAAGTCCGTAGCCATGGTTCACGCCATGTCTCGGGGGCATCCCTTCCCCCGAGGGGGAGACATAGATCGAGGATAGATGGACATAACGAGAAAGAGAGAGAGAGGATGCATTGAAGCACAAAGAGGAAGAGGAGGAGGAAGAAGGAGGAGGAGGAGGAGGGATACGCGGAATAAGGAGAGCTTAGATAGTAGGACGGAGGAGTGGTGGCGAGGACCAAGGGAACTTGGGGAGGGAAGATGCATGTGGGGAGGCATGAGGACGGAGAAAGCAGGTGTCAGGCGAACGCAAACATGGATCAAGGGGGCGTGTGTTAGCGACGGGTCCCGTTTCCGTGCGAAATCGAGGATTTCCGCCGCCGAACGAGGCGGCACCGGCCGCATTTGGGGGAAGGCACCTCCCCCGATCCATGGATTTGGCGACCGCGCGCCAAATCCATGATCCATGGATCGCTAATCCATGTTTCCGCGCCCCCGAAGGTGGAAGCGGGAGTGAGGAGTGAGGAATGAGTAGGAGTAGCAGGAGTGAGGAGGAGGAGGGGTAGGTGGAGGATGAGGGGGAGGGACTGTTGGATGGTGTATCTGATTCAACCGCTGGTTGGTCTGAGAAAAAAGCGGCACCCAACTCGCAAAGTGAAAACTGGAGTTTGACCCCAAATAGTGCACATGAGACAGTGGTTGAGAAAAATGCTGGCGTGAACATTCGGCACGGGCGCCAAGACAGAGCTCTAAGAACAGCACGAGGAAACGTCGGCGACGAAGCCGACAGGACGCGTCGTCCCGAATCGCCAAGGCTAAGGAAAGACCATATTCAGCCCATCTCCTCCACTCCATGCTCTCCTAAGCACCCCCGCCTCCACATCAAGCAGCTTGGCCAGCAGCAGCTCAAGGCGTCGACGGATGGCCGCAGGCAGAGAGACTGGCATGAGAGCTCCTATAGGAATGACCACCGTGGATTGGGCGCTCCGCCACTCGGGACGCGAGGGAGGGAGGACGGGAGGAAGTATATGGCGAGGGAGGGAGGAAGTGTATATAGGGAGGGAGGGCGGAACATGTACTTGGAAGGAGAGAGTGAGGCTGGAACACAGAGCCAGACCCTCCAATCTCGTGAGGAAGGCAGAAGCGACAGGGAGGATAAAAGGCTCGGGCACATATCTGGCACCCTCGGCACATTTGCGCTCCTTGCAAGTCAGTGCTGCGACATGAAGGCACAACGTTCCGTCTTCCTGAGAAAAAAAGTAGGAGTGTCTTCGGCACCCACCCCAGAAGGCACGACGCGACGGCGGCGAAGAACCGACGCGATTATCTTGAGCCGAGGGAGGAACACGTTGCGAGGCCAAGGTGGCGTTACGCAGCCTCGGAGTACACTACCCGCAAAGCGTACACGAATGACACCTGCAGAACACGGCCAGAGATCCGCCTCGGCGCCTCGACGGACGTCGCGTAGCGGCGGCGGCGGCGCACGCTGCCGCGCTGAGTGGCAGCGCGGGTGGTACGCTGGGGGCCGCACGCCCGGCAGGCGCAATCCGACGCCACAGCGGTTCCCGCGACGCCCTCGGCGGGAGCGGGGCGTTGGCCTCGACCGAGCCTTCGGAGCCCATCGGCCCGCCTGCCGAGGAGTGCGTCTCGGCCCGGTGCGGCATCACGCTGTCGACCGAGGACTATGTCCCTGCACTGCGTGGAGCATGGAGCGAACGTGGAGGAGACGTCGGCGGCGCAGTCCATGAAGGCGCCGGAACCGGCAACGTTGAAGACGCCAGAGACGAGAACGCAACACGCCATGTCCGAGCGACGCCAGAAGCCCTACCAGGAAGGCCCATCCGCCCTGCCACGAACGTCGGGGCCGCCGCGCCCGGCACCGCCTCGTGCGCCGCGCAGGGCACGAAAAGCGGGACCGCCGCACGCAGCCCCAGAGGCCCGCCTTCCGCGGAGAGGCACAGGGCTGGGGGCGTCCAGCTGTGCGTCCGAGAGCATCGGCGCGGAGCCAGCAGCCGCAACACGGTCCAGAGCCACGCGCCGCCAGTATATCTGCGGAGGGCGGCACCCCGCTCCGGCACGGGGAGACGCATCCCCTCGGCCGTCAGCTTGCCCTCCGACACGAGCGGACCTTCGGCGCCTGGATGATCCACGGAGGCGAGCCTGCCCACCATCGCCTCGAAGACCAGGTCCGAAGGCGAGCCGGGGGCAGGGGCCGCCGCTGCAGCGGGAGCCCCGAGGGCTGAAGCGCCCTGCACGCCGCCTACCGAGGACTGCGTCTCGGCACGACGGGACGCCTCGCCGTCCACCACCTCGCTGGGAGCGAGACGGACTCTGGCCTCGACCGAGCCATCGGAGCCCATCACGCCGACTGCCGAGGACTGCGTCTCGGCACGGCGCGGCATCACACCGTCTGCCGAGGACTGTCTCGGCGTGGTGTGGAGGCCCCCGTGGCGGCAGGGTGCCAGCACGCGCGCCAGCCGCAGCAGCGTCCGATGGGTGGGCGAACTCCGAGTCGTCGTCGTCCTTTCCTCTTCCTCGTCGTCCTCAGGAGCGTCGTCGGCCCCGGCGGCCCGCTCAAGCAGTGTCTCGGGCGCGGGTAGACTTCGCTGTCCCAGTGCCGCTGCAAAACGCTAGGGCCACGCAGCACGGCGCGCGGGCAGCGGACACGCAGACCCCAGACGGGCGGCAGCTGTGGCGGCAGCTTTGCCGGGCATCAAGGCAGGAACTTCGCGACGGCGCCGGCCTTGTACAGGGGTTCCAGCTTCGCGTCTGATTCGGTGAGTACGGCAGGTAAGCTGGCCGGAAGAGCAGCGGCGACAACTTCCCTCGGTTCCCCGCGCGGCGTGCTGATGACGTACCGGCTCACGTCGCGCAGCGGCGGCAGCGGTGGTTCGCGAAGAGCCACAGCCGGCGCCACAGCGGGTGGAGCGCCAGGCGGCGGTGCAGGCACGTGGCTAGCATCCAGATATCAGGCCGCGGCACGCCGCACGAGCGCCACGCTCCGCGCTTGCTGAATCTCCACTCCAGGGCGCCGCCGCGGCAGCCACGGCGCCCAGGGGGCGCGCCGTCGGGGCAGGCCGGGCGCGGGGTGGGCCGCAAGAGCCGAAACGTCGGCCATGCGAGGCGGCCGGTCTATGCGTGCAGCATAGCCGAGCCTTCGCGCAGCGGCACGAGGGAGCGGCTTCGGCAAGCAGCAGCCATGGCGCCCGCCGGACAGTTCTCGTGGCGCGCGGCCGCCTGCGCCTGCCAGGTGACGGTGGCCGGCGTCAGTGTGCTTGAATGGCCCCTAACCCGGGACGGCGGTCTGAGCCAAAACGGCTACAGAGGAGGGGGAGGGTTCGGTCCCCAGGCCCCCGTTCCTTCCTCGTAACTCTCTCCCCCTCTCCTGGTCATTATGTTCCTCCCCATTCTCTCTTTCCTTTTTCCTTTTTCGGTCCTTCTCTCCTCCCTCTCTGCTCCTCCTTGCTTTCTCCGTCCGTCTCCCTCCTCCGTCCTTCCCCCCGTCCTTCTCCCTCCTCCCTCCTCTGTCGGCCCTCCTCTGTCGTCCTCGAGATGTTCCCACAAGACCTCGACCATCGGTCGCCGCCGCCGCCGCCGCCGTTGCGATCACTCGTCGGGGCCAGGGTCCCGCCGCGGTGCGGCAACCCTTGTCAGCGCGGCGTCCGACCGCGGCCGCCTTCGCGAGGGGCGTGTTCTGCGCCTTCACCCACGGCGACCACGAGGTCCGGGTCGGCCCCGCCGCGGCTCTGCCCCGCGGGACGACGACGGCAGCGGGCGGCGGCGACGAGGGGACAGCGGCGACGGCGCCGATGGCGACGGCGACGTTGAGGGGACGGCGGCGGTGGCGATGATGGATGGGACGAGGGAGGAGGAAGAGGACGAGGTGGAGGAGGAGAAGGAGGAGAAGGAGGAGGAGGAGAAGGAGGAGGAGGAGGAGAGAAAGCGAATGATGAAAATGGGATGTAGGAGGAGGATAAAGAGGATAAGGAAGATGCAGGTTGGGGGAGATGTTTGAGAGCGGAGGTGGGATCACTAGGCACTAGGCGGACTGTCGATGCTGATGATGATGTTGATGATGATGCTGATGATGATGCTGATGATGATGAGCCATGATGGGGAGACGGGTAATGGCGATGAGGAGGAGCAGACAGAGAATGAGGAGGAGGAGGAGGAAGATGGAACGCGGGATGAAGATTGACGAAGAAGACGCGGACGATGTGGTGGGATGCTGAGGTGGAGGAGGATGAAGGAGAAGGAAAACGTATTATCAATGATAGGGTGAGGAGGGGGGGGGAGGGGAACGCTCAAGGCGTCGCTAGTCTGGGTTACCCCTATCTTCTCACCCTTCTGCGCCAGACCTCCGACGCCATGTGCTTTCTGGTTGTTCAGTCCATGGATCCCGTGTTTCGATCATTTTTTCTGATGATGGTCACAGCGCGCCGAAAGGCGATCGGATTGTTGGCGCGATGGATTCGCTTCCTGAGGTCTTCAGAGATATCCAGATGCCTCCGCCTGCAGAAGCCTCCGGATGCCCGCGGACACCCAAACAGGGCCATAAGCGCCCAGCAAGTTTGATCCTCGAATCTCAAGGACAGGTCCTCGATTAGCGAATCCTGAGTCACACGACACCTGGGTTCGAGCCTCCCTATGAGAAGGTGATTTGAACGAGCGCATGTTCGAAAATCCGCGCGGATTTCTTGGGTCGGCGCTGGGCCCTGCTCCTCAACCGCGCGGCGGTGCCCCGAGCGCCGCCCTTGGCGGGCTCCACGCTCCAGGCAGGAAGGTGTGGGGAGTGGTGCCAGGCGCCGACCCAAGAAAACTGCACTAACATCCGTCAGCTTATGTGCAATGTTTTTGTTTCGTCTTCTCCCCTCGCAGTCTTCTCGCTGGGCCCAGGAGCTGTCGAATCACTTCTGGGGACTTTCCGTCCCATCATTGGAGGCCCGAAGAAAAAAATATGTTGGCAAAGACGAAGGCCCTCAAGATGACCTCGCCCGAGAAGGGCTTCACGACAAATGAAACCCGTATGTAGCAGGTGGTATAGAGGTGCCCGTCGGCGTAGTAGTACCTGTCACGAGCACCACCGTACCTGTAGGAGGGCCCCATGCAGAGAAGGCTGGGTTCCAGATGTAGTAGGGGGTTAGAAGTCCCTGTCGGCGCAGTGGTACCTGTGACGAGCACGACCGTTCCCGTGATCGAAAACTGTAATCCTGACATCTGCCACCCACAGCAGCAGCCGCTGGTCCACCTCCTCCCGTCGTTTCTCGCCCGTGGGCTACCCCAGGCGTCTCTGGAGAACATCCTTGGGACGGGCACGAGGCCGGCCTCAGAACGCCGTTCCTTGACACTCCCACACGGCGTGGCCGGTCATAGGCACAGCGCTCCCAGAGGCCAGAATTGCGAAAGAACTACGTTTTTTCGTCTCACGCATGGAGCCCGCGTCGAAGCATTGTTGGCCAAGAAGCCGGAGGTGGTCTGGGTCTCCACCCGGCGCCGCGCTTGTGACGTCCCCTCCCACCGGCCGCGCCGGCGCGCGCCCAGGCGCGGGCGAAGACGCCCTCGGAGAGGCCGACGACCTCTTCCACGGCGGTGCCCCCCCCCCAGCCGCCCGCCCGAGGTGTGAGGCCGCATCCGCTCCTGGAGAAATCGGTACGACCGAGGTGGGTGCGGGAAGAAACGGGGGGGAAGACCTACAGCAGTTCTTGTCGTTTTGGGGCAGGGCTCGCTGTCGGCGTCGCCTCGGACGTTGCCCGTTCGAGACAGCAAGTGGCCTGCCCAACAGCGGCCGATGACGGTTTTGGACGCCGCTTGCTGTTGGGCATCGTACTCATTTGTCTGTCCATTTTTGCGGACAACCGCAGTCGAGTGAGTTTTCCATTGAATATAGGCCACTCGTGCGCTGCGTTTCCATACCATTTGGAGTCGTCGGTGCTCTTCCTCCTACTCCTCAGCCTCTTTCCTCCCCTCCCCTCATTATTGTCCCTCGTTGTTTCCCAGTCGCATTCTCATCGATTTGACTCCAGCAGCTTATCGAAGACGCCTCCGGCGAATCGTCGCCGCCCCCTACTTGTGCAACGCCAGTGTGGTGAATATGTCGGGAGTCAACACGGTAATTCTAGCAAGCCGCGTGTTACGAAACCACTTGGGAGATTGGGGGGGAGCCCTCTGGGGTCGTCTTGGGATTGTTTGGGGTTTGCGGGAATTTTGGACTGGGACTCTCCCGGGCCGCTCCCGGGCCGTACTGGGGCTCTCTTGGGCCGTCTTGGGGCACTCTTGTCTTGGGATTCGGGGGCCATCTTTGGGGCCTCTGTGGCCCCCTTGGAGGTCCTGGGGCCCTTCAGGCCAGTCTGGAGGGCATCCGCCGCAGTCTTGGCGATTACCGATCCAAAAATGATGTCCCCCCTATTCGGAAACCCTGGCAAACGCCTCTTGGGGTCCTCTCGGGGCTCTCTGAGACCATCTTACAGTTACTTTGAGGCCCCGCAAGCCCGTCGGGAGTGAAACGGCGAGAAGACACACAGCATTGACTTCCCTTGGGGTTTGGAATGGAATTGTCATTGAGAGTTTCCGTGGCCACTTGTGTCGGTCTCGGGTCGGTTTGGGGGCCTCTTGCAGGCATGCTGGAAGCTATTTGCAGTCATGTTGGGTTGACTGTGCGATCTTGGAGGCCATCTGGGGCTATCTAGGGCCATCTTGGGCCATCTTGCTCCAAACGCGTCGCGGCGTTACATCTCAACATGTACACCACGAGCTCTCACGCTCGCTCTCACCCGTCCTTCCACCATATAAGTAGCGTAAGGGACTCAGCATGGGCAGAGGGTGCCATCGCATGAGGTGCGCCAGTGCACGTGTCAGCACACATCGGGCAACTTGTCGATCCCCACCATCTTTGTCAACAACCAGTGCAAAGTGTTTGCGGGGTGCCCGCTCATGATCCAGATTCTGCCCCGCGTGCACTTTGGATCGTTCCCCAAGCGGTGCTTCCACTGAGGGATGCCCACTTCTCTTCCGAATAACTGGGCCCGTCTGCGGGCCCGTCGGTCCCGCTCTCGTCCGTTGCCGCCCCATGCCTCCCCGAGAACGGCCAGTCTGCGGACCCGGCGGCCCCGTTCTCGTCCGTTGCCGCCCGTCGCCGCCGCCCCGTTCCACCCCCTTCCCCGTTGCATTGCAATCGCATTGCAATGCAATGCATTCCTGTGCGTTGCTTTCTCATTGCTTTCTCGCTGCGTTGCCAGCTTTGCGTTGCTCTGCATTGCTCTGCACTGCATTGCATTTCTTTGCATTTCTTTGCTTTGCTTTGCATTGTGTTGCATTGCCTTTCACTGATATGCATTGTGTTGCTTTGATGTGCTTTGCACTGCTTTGCACTGCATTGATTTGCATTGTCTTGCATTGCTTTGCATTGCTTTCCATTGTTATGCATACATTTGCATTGCATTGATTTGCATGCCACTGATTTGTATGGCTTTTCGTTGCTTTGCATCGCATTGTGTTGCTTTGCATGTATGTGCATTGCTTTGCATTGCTGTGGATTGCATTGCTTTGCGTGACATTGCACCACACCAGTTGGACAGCGTAGATTACACCACCTAGACTGCACTGCATTGATTCCACCACCTAGACTGCAATACGTAGACTGCAAGACTTCACTGCTTGCAGTCTACGCTGGCTAGTACTTTTAACCTTGGATGGGTGGAGGGGCTCCTGGCTCCTGCTTGGTTGCCAGTGGAGAGGGTGAGGGGGTGTTGTTGACGACGAGCAAATGGGCCTGGGAGAACGAGCTCGGTAGACCCCCTACGCCCAGAATGCTGCTGGGATTTCTGGCACACCCCCGACCGCGCTCGACGGCGACGACGACAGCATCCCAGCAGGGCCAACGCCAGGGGGGGGATAAGCTCAGGGGTTGGGTGCATCCACCGCCTCTCGCCCTATTACCCGCCGGTGGGGGCCCGATTGCCCACCCCGCCCAGGACCGTGCGGTTTCGTCAGGGGGCCCGTGGACGATCCATCTGCGACGTATCGCCGATGCTCGGGTTCTGCTCCCGTTCCGAGCCGCTCCCCCCCCTCCACGTTGCTCCCCGCTCCCGCCGAGCGCGCAGGCGCCCCTGCCGGACGCGGAGGCGGAGCTGCTCCGCCACCAGCCCAGCTTCTGGACCCACCGCCCCCGGCCGCTCCCAGACCCAGCCGGCTGCCCGCGGTCGTCCCTGCCTGTGGCCAAGGCGTGGGGTTTTGTGAGGGGGGGTGATGCCGGGGGGTTGGGATCTCATGGCCGGGGCGGTGATAGCGCCCCAGATTTCATGGCGCCTCTTCTTACTGGGAAGGCCTTACGGCGAGTGCCGCCGGCACTGCTCTGGGACGACGACGACGGCGGCGGTGGCGGCGGCAAAGAACGCTCTGGAGCCCTTCTCGAGGCTTCCCTGGGAGCCTATTGGGTTCTGTTGGGGGGCCTCTTGGGGGACTTCTTGAGAGCCTGCTTGGCCACTTGGAGCTGCAGCCTCGAAGCAGATCTGAGGCCACTTCCAGGTAAGTAGGAAAACACGCAGCACACCGCAACAGCAGGTAAGAGTGAGGAGGGTGCCTCTGGGGGGGGTGATCGGGAGGAGGGGGGGATGGTGGCCCTCTTGTCCACAGGGGGAGGAGCCCTGAGTTCCTCCTGTCCACAGGGGGACCACCCCCCTGCCCAGATCATCCTATACTGGTTATTCTCGGTAGCGATTTGGGTGGGCGCTCGGTCGTGATTGGATACAGGATTTTTCACTCGCGTCGGACAATTGCGAATACGAGCAAATCTTGGAAGGTGAATGCCCGTAGCGGGGAAACAAAATTCGATTGTGAATCCGACGCGAAAGTCGGTAACGCGGACATCGAAACTCGGTAGCGATAGGATCGGTAACAGAAGATCGGTAACACGAGACTCGACACAATCCACAAGTTAAAGCTTACCAGCACCACCAACAGCAGCAGCATCACCAGCATCAACATCACCGTCGCCCAGCGATATGTATACACATATGTATAGTCAGCATGCGTGTCATCATCATTGCCATCGTCACCGTCATCGTCATCGTCGTCATTGTCGTCATCATCATCACAAACAAAATCATAATCATGAGCATCACCGTCAGTGTCAGCATCATCACCATCATAATCAACACTGTCATCATCCTCATTGTCGTCGTCATCATCAATACACCTCGCCCGATGCTTAAGAAAAGCAGTTTTGCAGCCAGAGTCTCGAAAATTATGGTCCTAGATACGCGGCTCCACCCGACGCTGGCGGCCGAGCGGCTGCAGCGGCGAATCCCCGAGCTTTTCGCGACCGAGAAGCATCTCCTACTCTGCCGCTGGCAGGGCGGGAGAGGGCGCGGCTGCAGGAGGTGCTCGAGCATGTCGCGAGAGGGGGGGGCCTCCCAGCCGACCGCGCGAGGACGCGCCCCGTGCGCATCGGAGGCGCCACCGCCCTCTACCGCATCTACCTGGGCGGGCGGTGGCGGGGCCTCGCCTCGTTCGAGAGGCGGCGCCCGTGGGGGGCGAGCGAGGGTGCGAAAGACGCGGCAGCTGGCATGGCGGGAGACGCGACCTCGCTGCACGTCGGCGACAGGCCGGCGAGGATGGGCTGGCCCGACGCGCGCCGCTTGGGCGCGTGCCGCACTGGGGGCGGCAGGATCAAACCTCGGGGCGAGCCCGATGGGGCGGGGGATTAGGACGACCGCTGCTCGCGCCCGCCAGGGGTGGTGGCGGGGCCAGGAGGGGTGGGGGGGGGGGCGAGCACTTCCCGCGCCTCCCCGACCCGCCGGAGCTCACCAGCCCCGCTGCCCCCGCGGCGAAGGAGGGCGCCCGCGAGCACGCGGCACTGGGAATGAGGCGCGCCGCGCCAGCTCCCGCGCCAAAAGCTAGGGCGGACGCCTCAGGACACCTGGGCGTCTATCAGCCAGTGCTGGGCGCCCAGCGCAGCAGGGTTGGATGGGGCCCGCGGCTGCAGCGCCGGCGGCGCACCCCGCGCCGCCTGGCTCTTGGCGCGAGTCTGCGCGCAGCCAAAGAAGAGTGCCGGGCGACTAGTGCTGGGCACCTAGCTAGCGCAGCGGGGTTGGCGGGGCCCGCGGCTTCAAAGCTGGCTGGTGCCACGTGCGCAGCCAGCTCGCTTTGTCCTAGGCGGAGGGGGCAGGCGCCCCCCCTGCCCCGCGCCAGGGCGCGGGACCACGGGAATCGCGCTTCCGGCTGCCAGGGGCGGCGCGTGCTGCCGCCGCGTTTCCAAACGAGAAGAGTCCTTTCCTCTATCTCTGGGGGTCCCGCGGGTCCGTTTTCCCCGCGGGCGCCGAGTGGCCCTGCTTGGCCACTTCGGCATATTTTGTGTTTTCTGTGGGCTGTGCCGCTTGAGCTTGGCAGTTCGGCGTGGCACTTTGCAACGCAAGGTTTAAAGGGTGAGAGGCCAGAGAAAGGAGGGGGGCCGCGCTGAAGCCTCTCTGGCTCGCAGCGGGCGAGCCCCTCCTCATCTATGGCCCACCCGACCCGCCCGTTCCGTTTGCTCCCCCCGCGCCACTGGGGCGGGCCCTCCCGCAGCCGCAAGCGCCGGGGCGTGGAGCCAGAGGGCTCGCGCCTCCGGCTGCCAAGGGCTGCTCTGCCGTCGCGCTTCCGAGAGGAACAGAATCCTCTCTCTGGGGGCCCCGCGGGTCTGTTTTCCCCACGGGCGCCGAGTGGCCCTGCGGAGCCAACTCTGCATTTTTGTGTGATTTCTGTGAGCTGTGCCGTTTGAGCATGTGGTGTCCCCTGTTGTTCCGTGGTGTCCCGTCGGTGTCTCGTTGTGTCCGTCGGCGCCCGGTCAGTGGCCCGCAGTGAGATCGAAAGTGGCACCGATAGTGAGATCGATAGTGAATGAATCGATCGTGCAACCGATCGTGAACTTGATAGCAGTATTTATTGTGAGATCGATCGTGAGATCGGTAGTGGTATCGATCGTGATTTCGACAGTGAGATCGATAATGAGATCGGCTGTGATATCGATAGTAGGGTCGACACTGAGGGGGATGGTGAGATCGGCTGTGAGTTCGATCGTGAGATCGGAGGTGAGTTTGATCGATTGGCATCGATCGCCAAATCGACTGATGTCCTGTCGGTGCCGCGTCGGTGTCCCGTAGTGAGATCGATCGTTGGTTCGACATTGAGATCGACAGTGAGAGTATTGGTCCTCCTGGAAACCTTGGGCCCTGCAACCAAGGGGTGTGCCGGGGGCCACGCGAGCGGGTTGCCACCAGGCGCCGCGTGGCCTTGCAGTGTGCCGAAGGGGCTGGCGATGTATGGGAGAGGACGTGAAGGAGCACGCGATGTTCTTTCAGCTTGTGCAGGCTGCGTTGCACGCGCCCGGACTGCTCGAGCAAACGTCTCGACCATTTTTGTTCGCCATTCGGCCCTGAAAGCGATATTTGGTGGCACCATTTCGGCAGATCCCTCACAGGCTTCGTGGCTTCATAATTAGGGAACTCCACCGAAGGCTCCAGTGGCGGTGTTTGCATGCGCCTCACCGCCCATTACAGCACACCCCTTACTCGCTTCGTGGCCCCATAGGGAGCTCCACCGAAGTCGCTGCTCTCAATTGTGCTGCTCACACCTGCCTATGGCATGCTTAGGTTCCTCGCCTGGTTAAGTTATTGTCCCATTGCCGCCTGGTCGTGGCGTATATGTGCGGGCCCCGCAGCTTAGTGACTTGTCGATGGTGCGTGCCGGATACCCACGGAGGAGTGTACCTGATGCAGCATGTGTAAGATAGTACGCGCTCCCATTGCGCAGAACCGAGCCGAGTCTCCCGCCCCCCTCCTCCGCCCCTCCCCCCTCCCTCCCGCAACGCTGATACGAAGCTCGGCAGGACGTCACCCTTGACCCCAAGGGACTCCAGAGTTGGCCCACCGTTGGCGTTTCGTCCAGCCGTGAGCGTGACCGCGGCGTGTCAGTATGAGCGGACGAACGGAGACACATGGTGTGCCTCGGGGAATCTCCAGGCGAATTCCCATCCTCATCCTCATCCTCCTCCTCTTCCTCCACCTCCTCCTCCTTCTCCTCCGCCTCCTCCTCCCTCCTTCCCCTCGTCCCCCCTCCACCCTTACTTCTCCTCCCCCCTTTCTCTCCCGCTCGCTCCGCCCCCGCGGCGCAGCCGACCCTCGCGCCAGGAAGCCCCCGCAGTACCACGCGTTCGAGGATCGCTCTCCCGCAATTCAGGCTAGAGCGGGGCGGTGGTGCTTCGAGCTGGTACAGACGGGGGTCAGCCAGAGCACTGGATCTCGCGGGATCCTGCAGAGCAGGGGGTGCATTTACCCAGGCTAGCGCGCAGGATCCTGCAGGATTTTGCAGGAACTGGCAAGCCCGACTGACCCGGGTCTGCATGGACCCTGGCCAGTAGAAGCCCGTGGTGACGATGATGATTCTTGGACGTGGATCGGACAATAGTTTGAGAAGAAGGAGCAAGGATGGGCGACGAGGAGGAGGAGGGCGACGAGGAGGAGGAGGAGGCGGAGGAGGAGTCTCGCACATCTTGGGATGAGTTCGGGTTCGATCCCCGCGGCCCACCGCGGCAGTTGGAGGGAACTACGCCTCTCTGGCCTTGGCGTGCTCTTTGCGCAGGAGCTGGGTCAGAGGGAAAGAAGACACTTCAAACACGATGGTGGAGCTCTTGAAGCTCATCGGCATGCTGCCCTCTTGGGCTCTTTCCAGCTGGGTGGTGGCCCTCTGGCGGGCTACTTGCGCTTGCAGATGGCCGCTGAGCCTTTGCTTTGTTTTTCTGCATAAGAGTTTCGCACGTGTGACATACCAGCTAATTTGTTGGCTGGTGCACGTGCTTATACTAGAATGGAGGGGGAGGAAGAGGCGGAGGAGAAGGAGGAGGCAGACAGAGCCCGAGCCCTCACACGGCTCCCGAGCGCCAGAGGAAGGCCAGAACGTTCGCGGCCTCCGACACCAGCGCTTCGATTGGTCACCCAACTGTTGGCGGGGGGACCTGGGGTGGCCACACGGTTTTGGGAAGCGGATCGATCTCCGAGGGCGTCTCGGGCGGTTGAGGCTTCCAGGGTCCGAAGCCGTGCGGTGGCGGGCCGTGCGGTGAGGTCGTGTTGGGGGATTCCGAAGTCATTGTTCGGTTTACCATCGCACCTTTTGGGGAACCTCAGGTGGTAGGGGTGGTGTTAGCGATGTTGCTGCTGCTGCTCCTGCTGCTGCTGATGATGCTGATAATGACGATGCTGCTGCTGCTGTTGCTACTGATGATGATGATGATGATGATGATGATGATGAGGATGAGGATGAGGATGAGGATGCTGATGCTGATGCTGATGCTGATGCTGGTGCTGGTGATGGTGATGGTGATGGTGATGGAGATGATCATGATGGTGCCTGCCTTCGGCGCCGACGTGGTGATGCGGGCCCACTGCTTACTCTCGCTCGGGAGGGCTGCCTGGGCGCGAGGGTGAAACGGCCGTGAACTGAGCCCCGACCTAAGTGCCCCTGCGTTTCCCATAGAAGTGGTGTGGTGATGGTGATGAGGATGATGCTGACCGATATAAACATGATGATACGGTGATAATGCTGATGATGCTGATGGTGTTGGTGGAGATGATGATGCTAGTGATGATGATGGTGGTGATGGTGATGGTGACGACGACGACGACAAATGATGATGCTGATGGTGGTGGTGGTGATGCTGTTGACTGATGATGCTGATGATGGCGGTGAGGATGTGGATGAGGATGAGGACGATGATGATGACGATTCCGAAGATGCTGCTGTTGATGATGATACTGATGCTGATGCTGGTGATTATGACGTTGATGGTGATGATGATGCTGATGATGCCGATGCTGATGCTGATGTTTCTGACGATGCTGATGATGCTGATGCTGATGGTTCTGATGATGATGATGCTGATGGTGTTGGTGATAGGGATGGCGAAGGTAATGATGATGTCAATGTTGCCGTCGACAACGACAAGGACAACGACGACGCCGATGATGCTGATGATGATGTTGTGAACAATATCGATGATACTAATGATGTTGATGACGATGTTTATTGGCGACGACGACGGTAATCATGGTGGTACTGTTGTTGAGGATGCTGATACTGACACCCATCGGTCGTTGAAAGTAGGTATTTTTGGATTCCCGGATTCCAATCTACTTTGAGCGCCTTCCTACTTCAAGAGTCGAGGGGGTTTCCCTCTTCCCCCCTCTTCAGGAGGCGGGCGGAAACCCAATCTATTTCCAGCGCCTTCCTACTTCATGCTTCTACCTACTTCTTCCGACCGATGGGTAGGAATGCTGATACTGATGATGATGATGGTGATGATGCTGATGATGGCGATGATGCTGATTATGATGATGGTGATGGTGACGGTGATAGTAATGGTGATTGTAATGGTGATAGTAATGATGATGGTGATGATGCTGATGATGATGATGATGATGATGGTGGCGATGGCGATGATAATGGTGATGGTGATGGTGATGGTGATGATGATGATGATGATGATGATGGTGATGGTGATGGTGATGGTGATGATGATGATGATGATCTGGATGATGATCTGGATGATGATGATGATGATGATGATGATGATGATGATGATGATGATGATGATGATGATGATGATGATGATAATGATGATGATGATGATGACGATGATGATGATGATGATGGTGGTGGTGATGATGATGATGATGATGATGATGATGATGATGATGACTGTACTACCCGGTGAGCGGAGCGTGGCGGGGAAAAACAGCAATTGCGATTGCGCCTTCGGAAGCTGTTTGGGCTTGGTTGAGGCGGTGGCCCCCGCCCCCCCCAACCCCACGCGCACGCACGTTATAGCGCATCGGGTCGCCATTCTGCATCCTCGCGGAGAGCGAGGGGGGGCCGCCAGCATCTAAACGCAAGTGCCTGGGCCCGCCCTGCGCGGCGTTGGTCCCCCCGCGCAGGGGGAAGGGGCGGACCGCCCGCGGGCCGCCCGCGGGGCCGAGTGCCCAGGCAGGGCAGACTCTCTTTCCCCGGAGCCCAGGCCTCCCACTCAGGGCCCAGATGAGGGAGTGGGGCGACGGCCTCAACGGGGCGCCCGAGCGGGATGAGGCGCCCAGCGTGCCGGCCTGCAACAGGGGAAGCCACGAGCGGGGCCAACTGCCGCGGAGACAGAGAAAACTGGTGGCCCCGCGGGGGCGGAATCGTTTGCAAGGGCGGAGAAGCGCAACGCCAGTGGAAGGCGCAAGAGAGCTAAAGCGCAGCCGCCGCCAGACTCAGGGGGCCACTATCGGGGATGGAGAGGGGAGGGAGCGGGTCCCTCCGACGAGGCTGGCAAAAATGTTCCGCCGCTTGCTACTCCCAAGCCCAAGGGGAGCCGACGACACTGGCCAAGGGGTGTCAACTCGAGATCGCCCCGAGTCCCGCGGGGACGAGGCAGTGCCATGGACGCCCGCGGTCAAGGCAGTGTTTGGGTTGGACCGCGGGTCCGTCGTCGAAGTGCGCGGTGAGGTGCGCGGCAACTCGCGGCACTGCGCGGCGAGGTGGTCGCCAAGCCAGAGATGATCACGTGGGGGCAGATCAGATTGCGCCGAGCCGACCCTCCTCCTCCCTCCTCGCTCCCTCCTCACTCCTTCCCTCCCTCCTCCCTCCTCCCTCCTCCCTCCTCCCTCCTCCTCCTCCTCCTCCTCTTCCTCCTCCTCCTCCTCAGCCGCGCGGCCCAGGTGTTCTAGGGGCTGTGGCTGCACGGCACCCTGCGCACCCTTCGCGGTGTCGACCTGGAGGCGCGGCCTCCTTCGCCCGCTACCGAACACTGTTTCACTCACACACATTCCTCCATTTCTCACAGTGTTGTGCATCGATTACCGCAGGGGTTTGCGTGGCACCTGTCCGTGCTGAGTGACCTTTTCGTGCCCCTGAAGGTCGCTGTCTACCAGTGTTGTGCTATTACCTGAGGAGGTAGACCCGTAGAGCCCATACGGGTGCCCACGACGGCTTAATTGCGACGGAGCGTGTCTTTCCTCGGGTTTGATCATTCTTTGTTGTATTCGTGTATCCTTGACTTTCTTCGGAACTATGCAAGTGCGATGGTGGAATCCTCTCTTACTGACAGAGACAGGGTGTCTGAGCTGCAGTGCGCATTCGTTATAGTGACGTTGCTAATTCTTATCGGTACGCAATGGTTCGTGTTCAAGTCTGCAGACGCAGTGGTGGCCCACATGAAGTTCGAGAGCAGGCAAGTTGGATATGACCCAAGAGACAGCTTCACAAACTCATCGCGTGGTGCTTCGGCGATGGTTAACAAGCAGACGCTTCGAGCTCGGGGCGCAGTGCGTATATGGGCCTTCCCAACATATATTCGTGGTGTGGGGGGTGCTGTCAGTATTATTTCGCATTGCGGGGACGAGACTGTCGCGGGCCTTCTCCTTACTCTTCGAAGCAGGAGTTTGCGGGGGCGGCCGAAGCTCAATGCTACCATCCATCTTGTTTATGACTACGCGCAACAGGTACAAGCGGGCCCGTGTCGCATCGTTCAGATCATGGTGTTTGATGCCAGTGGTGTTGTGGGATTGGCGAGGGGGCAGTGCAGCGCATGTGGGATCAAGCCTGCCGCAGGTGAGAGGCACGGATGCAGTACGGAGCAACAGGCAGGATCTATCGTGCGCGAGATGGCAGAAACGAGGGGGTCGGATATTGCAGACACCTTTTTTACATGTGGCCCGAGCTGCTTCTTTGGATCAGTACTTGACGATGCAAGAATTGTCGATGCAACACCTGGCTTTCGATGTTTACGTGGTAAACGCCAGCGTATGTCGTGCGTTGACTGTGTTTCACGGTGTGCCAGCTACGTGTCCTGTATGCAGTTGTTCACACTACAGATGCGCCGTGCGCGCTGGCTGCGGGAGTCGTAACGCAGCATGTCGCGACCATGCCCCTTTTCTTGTTCAGCTGGATTTGCGAGCGTGCTTTCGGCACGATGTGCCGCGACGCGGGGAGCTTCCAGGGCTGCGAGAAGGAGGGCTACAACGGTGGCAAGTCGAATGCCATGAAGTTGGCGGAGAGGATAGAGGCACAGGCCAGAAGTCCATGGAGCGGGCAGTGTCCTTTTCCGTTTATCAATATCCAGACCGCGCTCAAGGGTGCCAGCGCAAAGTGATGATGCCGCACCTCGACGAGCTCGCGCTTCCAGTCGT